TACCCTGTAGTTCCACCCTACCCCACTCCTTCCTCCTTGAGATGCTTTGCTAACCACCCAAGTTCACTCTGTGTTTCCCTTCAATCTTTCGCTCTGTTTTCCCCCTATCTCACTGTATACGTGACTATGGTGAATAGGGTTTTATTTGTAACCCTAAACCAACGTATACACACATATATATAAACACTACAGAAACCCTAAGTCCATAAAGATATAACTCGGCCCATAGATAAACCTAAGTTATAATCAACGTCGGTTACCCATGTAAATTTAAACCTAAACTTGTAAACCTAACATACGATAAGTAAGTAAATTCAAAAAAAAAAAAAAAAAAAAAAACAATTAATTAATAACAATTTTATCAGGTAATTAAATCAAATAATACAATTTAATGAAAATTAAAGCCAAATAAATAATTAAAACAATTAACTCAATTAATCACAATTAATGCAAATAATTAATTAAAGCAAATAAGTCAATTAATTCAAGTAATCCATTAAATAAAAAAAATGTAATAAAAATCATAAATTAAATACCAGAAATAGCCTTTTTAAAATTAGGGGTATTACAGCGTGGTACTAAAAAGGGGGGACTCTACTATATGGATGACTTCAGTACAGGGAAAGCCAATCAAGTCCGACACACAACCAGTGATAAGGAACGGCAAATTTGGCTTCTTCATAATCGCTTGGGACATCCATCTTTTGGATATTTGCAACATCTTTTTCCAGCTTTGTTTTCTACATTACAACATTTATCTTTTTAATGTGAGACATGTATTGCAGCCAAAAGTCATAGAGTTCCTTACCCCGTGAGCCACACAAAAAGAGACATGCCTTTTTCTTTAATCCATTCGGATGTATTTGGACCTTCCCCTGTTATTACTCCAACTGGAAATAAATGGTTTGTCATTTTTATTGATGATTGCACTCGAATGACATGGTTGTATTTACTTAAACGGAAAGATGAAGTGTTTGGTGTATTTCAATCGTTTCATGTAATGATCCAAACACAATTTTCAGCTAAGATTAAGGCCCTCCGTACCGACAATGGAGGTGAATCTGTCAATACAAAATTTCAGGCTTATTTCCAACGCCATGGCCTCATTCATGAAACCTCATGTTCCCAAACTCCTCAACAAAACGGCATTGCCGAGAGAAAAAATCGACATATCTTAGAGACAGCAAGAGCATTGTTGATTGGAGCACATGTGCCTTCTCGGCATTGGGATGATGCAGTTGCCACAGCCGTCTATTTACTCAATAGAATGCCTTCCAAGGTCTTACATTTTCAGACTCCCTTGCAGACTCTCTTGAGCCATATAGCTTTACCCACTATGTTAATGCTCCATCCCCGGATCTTTGGATGCGTTGCCTTCGTTCATCTCCATAAAAATCAACGAACCAAGTTGGAACCATGTGCAGTCCGATGTCTCTTCTTGGGATATGCTCTGCATCAAAAAGGGTATAGATGTTTCGACCGCATCACTAAACGAACATACATCACCATGGACGTCACCTTTCTTGAAGCAGAGACTTTCTATCCATCACCTTTAGCCAAATCATCTCTTCAGGGGGAGCTTCAAAATGAAAAGGTGAATTGGCTATCAACAACATGGCTAGAACCGGGAGGTGACTCAGAACAACATCATGATGGAAACATTGAGATAAGGTCAACTGAGGAATGCTCTCCAGTAGTAGAACCAACACTTGAAGAACCGTGCAACATGGAATGTAATGAAACACCTGTACCTGTCAGTGATATGGCTTCAAGTGATGGTTCCCCCTCTTTAGTACCCGAAGGCCCCTCTCCTGAGAATATCGCTGAGGTAAGTTCCCCTGCCATATCCTCTTTTACTGATAACATGAATAGTACTGTGCAATATGTGTTGCCTTCCAGACATAATCGTGGTAAACCACCAAGCAGATACTCTGCGGAAGTGGAAGATAGAAGATCCAAATATCCTATTGTCAACTATGTGTCCATTCACAGGCTATCCGAACCACTCAAGGCCTTTACACATAAACTGTCCTTAGATTACATTCCTCGAAATGTAGAAGAGGCATTACTTGATCCACAATGGAGTCAAGCGATAAAAAAAGAACTGAAGGCCTTGCAAAAAAATGAGACGTGGAGGCTGGTCTCATTACCCGAAGGAAAGAAATCAGTAGGGTGCAAATGGGTCTTCTCCATTAAATATAATGTTGATGGATCCATTGATAGGTACAAAGCAAGGCTCGTGGCAAAGGGGTACACACAGACGTATGGTATAGATTACCAAGAAATGTTCTCACCTGTAGCAAAACTAAACACTGTTAGAGTTTTGTTATCTCTTGTAGCAAATTTAGATTGGCCATTACACCAATTTGATGTGAAGAACGCATTCCTCCATGGGAATTTAGAAGAAGAAGTTTTCATGGACATTCCACCTGGGTACTCGACAAGTCCAGAAGATAAAGTAGTATGCAAGCTACAAAAGGCCTTGTACAGGTTAAAACAATCACCCCGTGCATGGTTCGGTCGATTTACTGCAACTATGAAAAAATGTGGCTTTCAGCAGAGTAACTCAGATCATACCCTTTTCCTAAAGCACCAATCTGGAAAAGTGACAGCGCTAATTGTTTATGTAGACGACATGATCATTACGGGTGATGACAAAGAAGAAATCTCAAAGCTTCAAGAGCAATTATTGGCTGAGTTTGAGATGAAGAACCTAGGGGGACTCAAGTACTTCCTGGGAATCAAAGTATCCAGATCAAAGCAAGGCATATTTTTATCTCAAAGAAAATATGTCTTAGACTTGTTAGTTGAAGTGGGGTTGCTAGAATGTAAACCAGCCGATACTCCCATTGTCCAAAATCATCAACTTGGGATATATGCCGATCAAGTGCCCACGGACAAAGAGAGATACCAAAGGATAGTTGGTAAGCTTATTTACTTGTCACATGCTCGGCCAGACATTGCTTACGCCGTAAGTGTAGTGAGCCAATTCATGCACTGCCCTAGTGAAGCTCATATGAATGCAGTAACTAGAATCTTTCGGTATTTAAAATTCTCTCCTGGGAAAGGACTAATGTTCACAAAAAATGATTATTTGAACATTGATGGATACACTGACGCAGATTGGGCAGGAAATATTTTAGATAGGAAGTCGACTTCAGGCAACTTCACCTTCGTAGGAGGTAATCTCGTCACTTGGAGGAGCAAGAAACAAAAAGTTGTTGCGCTATCCAGTGCTGAAACAGAATTTCAAGGTATGGCCAAGGGTGTGTGCGAACTTCTTTGGCTGAGAAGGCTATTAACGGAAATAGGCTTTGCTCCCAGCTCAGAAATGAATCTGTTTTGCGATAATAAGGCAGCCATTGACATCTCTCATAATCCTATCCAACATGATCGGACTAAGCATGTTGAGGTCGATTGGCACTTCATTAAACAGAATCTTGAAGAGAAAATCATTCGGTTCCCATTTGCCAAGTCAGAAGACCATACTCACAAAAGCCGTATCCAGTAGAAATTTCTACTTCTCACTCGACAAGTTGGGCATTAGAGATATCTATGCACCAATTTGAGGGGGAGTGTTGGCGTGAGCTGTACTCTGTACAAGGATCAAATATGATTATTTATATAAAGTATTTCTTTGTAAAATCCCTTACTTAAAAGGGTCAACCATAATTATAGCCTTAGATCATGTATTTCTTAGAATAGCTTACCCAGTATCTACATATACCTTTGTACTTGCTATTGCAAAATAATTTTAAGATACAGAAACTTTTGACATAAAGTGCCCAAAAAAAAAAAAAAAAATTTGCTATATAAAAATTGTACAAAAAAAAACATCCTTATTATTTAGTATGCATATATAAATTCTTATAATTTAAAATTTTGTAGCAAATTACCCTGAATTGTCAATTTTGACCATTTTTTTTTATTTTATAAAATTTCCAAAATATCCTTAATGGCATTTTAGGTATTTTAATGTTTAATTTTTTATTAAAAAAAATCTCAATATTTTTTTGTAAAAACTGTAAAAAAATTCCAAGATTTTGAAATCAAAATTTTTTACTTTTATTTTATCTTAATAGTATTTTAGATATTTCAATTTTTAAAATAAAAAATTACTAGTATTTTTATTTGTTCAATTTAGAAAAAGTAGAATATATATATATATATATATATATATATATATATGACACGAGGAGAGTATTCATACATCGAGACAGCAAGCAACAGTAGCACCATCAACGGATGTCCCACATTTACGTTGCCGAAGGTTGACCACGCGTACGCTCACATATACTCCGTCTATAGAAACACAGACAGACATCAAAAGATATTTTGAAGAATTTACTCGTAATTACGAGTAAAATTCGTTGGTAAGGATAGCCAATTTATTTATTTATTTATTGAATCAAGGATAGCATTGGGGCGTGGGTTATTTGGGTTTTGGAACTGGAAGCCATTTCACTATTCCTTCTTCAATTCTTTTACTAATGGATCTGATTCTAGCTTGGAAATCAGGAAACAGAGAGATTCATATCTAAATTCACATCAGAATGTTGCGATATATTTCACTTTTGCAGGATCATTCGGAAGCTTCAGGTACTTCATATAAATTCAGTGTTTTTTGCCTTGGAATTATTTTATTTCATTTTTATCTTTTGTTGTCATAGTTGAATTAGACGGCTTACCTTTTCATCTAGATGCAAAATATTTTGACCTGGTTTCAGAAATTTTCTTCCAACTCTGTTTATCTTTGTTCTAATCCTGCTCTTCTTATTTGGAAAAAGTAAGAGTTTAAAAACAAAAAAGAGTTTAAGTTATAAATTGTCAAGTAAAAATGTGTACTACTGTACTGTCACTAGGACATGTCAAGATTTGGGACATTCAAACATTCAAGTTGCCTTTTAAAGTTGGTGTTCAGATTCAGGGATCCAAGATTATAACTGCAATGCCTTCTAGTTATGTTATAATCAAGCCATAAAAGCCTTCAGAATTGTACGTAGAACAAAGGTAATAGCCCAATTTTTGTAGATATACAGAAATGAAAACTTGATTGGACAAAACATCTATAAACCACTAGTTTCTAGAAAGAGAGAGAGAGGGGGTGAGAGAGAAACCTCAATACATTAAGCAGTAATGAAATATGGTTATAGAACATGACATAATATTACTTATTAATTTTCTTCTTCAAATGCATCGGTTGTGGAAGAGTAGCACCTTTCACTTATCGAGCAGTAGCTATCCTGGTTATTGTACTTGAGTAATGTCGACTGCTCTTGTGCCCTCCTCAATTGATCCAGTTCTCCAACAACTTCTTTCATATTTGGCCTTTTCCTTGCAGTCAGTTTGAGGCACCTTTTAGCCAGAGTAGCAACAGCTTGGATCTCGTCTTCCTTACCTTCATTCACAACTACTGTCTCTAGAATTTCAAAAAGACGATTTTGTTTCATTGATGATCGGAAATTAAGTACTAAACCTTCATCAAATCTATCAGAACTTACCGCTTTTTTTCCTGTTAGTAGTTCGGCAAGAACTACTCCAAAGGCATAAACGTCACTTTTATCAGTAAGTTGCCCTGATCGAAAGTACTCTGGATCCAAGTAACCAAATGTACCCCCCACCATTGTGGTCAAGTGAGTCTTGTCAAGGGACACTGACCTTGAAAGTCCAAAATCAGACACTACAGCCTTGTAATTTTCATCCAGTAGTATGTTGCTAGACTTGATATCCCTATGAAAGATAGATGTAGAAGCATACGAGTGCAAATAGGTAAGTGCTCCTGCAATTTCCCCTGCAATTCTCAATCGAGTATTCCACGACATCGTCAAAGCCTTACCCTCATCGTGAAGATGGTGGGAGAGTGTGCCATTCGAGACATATTCATATACTAGTAATGGAACTTCAGTCTCTAGGCAGCAACCTAACAATTTTACAATGTTCCTGTGGCTTATGCGAGAAAGGATAATAACTTCATTAATGAACTGACCAACTTGATTTTCATTAACTATGTTAGATTTCTTAACAGCCACTATGCTTCCATTTGATAACATCCCCTTGTAAACTGTACCAAGTCCTCCCTTGCCTAGGACTCGACCCTCGTTAAAATTATCTGTTGCCTTTTCCAACTCTTCTGCTTTGAAAACTTTTGTTTTCTCAACACTTTCTTCACCAGACGAGACATGCTGTTGCAATAACAAACCTCCATTCCTCTTGAAAAATTGCTGTTTCATTTTGTTGTTTTGTCTCAACTCAAGTTTCCGGTACAACCATAAACCAACAGCAATAAAGAATATAACGCCAATTGCAACTCCAATGCCTGCATGTGCATAAAAGTTTAACACCATTTCATTGAGATCAAGAGGAAGAAAGGAGTCGACAAGGATAAATACCTATGGAAACAGGTACAGCTATTAATCGATGCTTCCCATGGTCAGGTATGCAGTTAATTCCATTTCCATGAATGCTGTAGTAACCAGGTGGGCAAGTGCACAAGTAGCTACCTGCCGTATTGTTGCAAAGAGCTCCATCTGGACATTTGTTCTTTTTTGTGTTTTCGCATTCATCAATATCTTGTGTAGATAAGGAAAAAAAAAAAAGAAAAAAGAAATTTGTCCATGAAGATAGTTCTTCGACTTTGAATATTATGGAACAAATGGCAAAATGATTTAAAAAAAATTCAAGTTTTGTCTGTTACGAAAATCAATTTGAAATTTGGCTCCTCTAAGCTGTACAATTGGTGAGTACTTTGAAGCAGGAAGCTCACAAATCTAATATAATTTTGTTGTTTGTTTTTTTTGTGTTTTTTTAAGACCAAAGTAGGTCTCTTGAAGTGTAGAAACTCCTATGCTACCAAAAGATTACCATGGTCAAGCCACCATTAGTGTTATGCAACCACATATCACCACCGTGGAAGTTCCCATCTATCTTGTCTTTTTCTTTGTCATGTCCCTCTACTTCTCCACAATATTTGCTTCTCCTCGATCTGTATTTATCATTCTCTATAAAACTCTACCTAGTATTGAAAACCTTACTAATAAGTTAAACTCTAATAAGTTCATATGGGGATTCCTGGAATTGCTTAATTTTGCTTGTATGCTAAAAAAAAAGGACAGTTTATATAGCATTTTTCTATTCTTTATAGCTTGCAGCATGGGGGTGGTGGTGGTGACAGCAAACAAAAAATTAATCATTCAAGAATGATCAAGAAAGTGCATGTTTTATACCTTGGCATCCATTGTTGAGGTAAGGGTTCCCTTGGTAACCTTGAGAGCAGCGACATCGATATCCCACCCCATCATCAATAATGGATTTTATGCAGTCACTGTTACGGCCACAAGCATAGTCTTTTCTTCTTTGAGCTTCGCGGCAAGAGATGCTCTCAATCGCCCAGTCAAGCACAAGTGGGACTCCATCCAAGAAATCATAATCAGTAATATTAGAGGCGTTGGGTTTGCTGAATTCTGAAAAGTTCTTGTCAGCAATGAAAGCAATACTACATGGCGCGGAGGCCCATAACCGTCCAATGGTATTTATGGTTTCGATGTGCAAATTAAAGGAGTAGATATCTTCCGGAATATCAGTCTGGCAGCAACCAATGCCAGAGCAAGAAGTCGGATTTATACTATAGTTATTAGCAGCAAGACCAACTATTCTGCTGCTGCTGCTTGTGTTGTTATAGCAAATGGATGCACACCCCTTTCTGTAGTTTGTGGTGTTTAAATCAGTAAAGTAAGCAAAGATGTCACATCCTATGGCTACCAACTTATTTTGGGTGTGGGAGACTCGGAATGGTGATTCCTCCAACCCATAACTAACAGGTCCTACAGGACTTTCCCCAGATGACTTGTTGTAACATTGAACAATAGCCGGACCGGTAATACTCACATGGTCCAGAGAGATCTGGAACACTTGTACATCGCTCATATAGAAGAGAGTTGACTCATTGCAAGTGACTTCAAACATCTGGTTCCGGCAACATCCTTTCCCTATGCCAAATGGATATGGAACGCTCAAGTTCCCGCATTTCTCTTGGCAATTGGGCTTGGCCATAGAATTAGAGGCTGCTGATCTTGCTTCCTTAATTAGTAGGACGACGGCGGTGATGATGATGATGATGGATATCAGATGAACCTGCTGGAACATTTGCAGTTGCATTCTTTTGCTCTCCTTCATGAATATTTTATGATGTTAATTCTGCAGATATTTTGCTTGTAGAGAACAAATGAGCTTTTTGTTAAGAACCCCTCTGGGAGAGAGATTCCAAAAGGAAGAAGATTATCACAGGTGGGCTCACTGGCAGGAAATGCGCGCTTTCAAGACATACAATTCCTCCACTATGTTGTGTGGTGACAAGCATAGTGGAGGAATGTAGTGGTGCAATGGTAGTGATATTGTCGGCAATGAGTAGAATTACATAATAGCCACTAATTTTGGATTTGGGGGGAATTTTTGTTTTTGTTTTTGTGGATACATTAATTAGTGATGTATTAATTAATAATTACTAGCACAATCAAGAACATGAGAATTCGATGGTCTAATCTAATATTAATATAAATTTGTGGAAAAAAGAAAGAAAAAAGAAATTGTTCCATTTCAATATTAGATCATTTTGTACTCACTAATTTTTAATTTAATATTGGATTTTCCTTGGTTAAAAATTCAACTTCTTATTCATAGGGCAACACATTAAACCATAATATATATCTATCGTGGACCTAGATTAGAAAGATGGTTGTTAGGGGAAGGGTTTGAGCCTAGGTGTGGGTAAGAAGTGTGTGTATATTTTGCCAACAAAATATATATATAGCCATCAATTTAATTAATCATGATTAATCCCTTAACACATGTTTCTTTATTAAAGGAGAATTGGTGGAACATACTGTTTTTTTATCAGCCCAGCCCAGCCAGCACAGCACCACACGAACACGTTTCTTTCTCTTTCTTCTTCATCGTTGCTGTTCTTTATAAAATGTTATTAAACTATGATGAGTCTGTTTTTTCTGAATTGGAGAGTTTTGATTGGTTGGTCCAACACTATCTAATTATTTCTAGTGGAAACAAGCTTTGAAGCCCACGCTTGTTTGAACCTTGCTAGAGAGTACAAGAGATTATTCCATCTGGAAAAGGTAAGTTGCATGTGAGAAACGTTTCATCCCATTACTAAAAATGTATATATTAATTTCAGATATATACTGCTTTTTTTTTTTTTTGGTCAATTATTTTTTCCCAGATATTTCTGTTAATCATTACTATATACGTATATATTTATGTTCTACATGCTAAAACTGAATTACATAGTACAAATAAACTTTAAATTATAGTACTGTCAAATGATCTCTCATAATTGAGAATAAACTCCTCTATTCTTATGCAATGTTTGGTTACATATAATTGGATTCAGTGAATATGATTGGATACATGAATTTCTGTAATTAAATCTTTTGTGGAGTGTGTAATTGATATTAAATCCACTTGTCATTTACAGTACTCAACTCAAATGAAAAAAAAAAAAAAAAAAAATGATAAATTCACTAAACAAAAAAATGGACCTATTTAGCTGTCATATTAAATACTCCATGGTAGTTTATTAAGTAGTTAAGAAAGATTATTTTTGCTTGTAAAGCTTCTCATTTTTTCTGTACACAAAATAATTGCTACCGGATCATCCACTTATATCCAATTAATATATATCCATCAAAAGTGTGACAAATGAATGATTCTTCGTTGTCATGATTAATGTGGTGGGACATTCTTCTTTATTAAAGGAGGAAGGTGGGAACATACTTTTTACATAGATGTTTGTACAAAGGAATGGTATGTGTTACATGTTAGAAAGAAAGGACGTGGAGCAATCAAAACAACATGTGAACCATGGAAGAGCACAGGAGCTAAATTGGGCGACCTGAAAAGTAAGTAAATATAGGCATGTGAAATGTCCATTTAAGATACTTTTTGTTATTGTGATAAACATTATTCTTTGTTAAAGGAGGAAGTGTAAAAATGCTTTTGACATGAAAGATACGTGCATTTTGTGCATTGGGATTGAGTTATTTTCATTGTGGATTGATATTGGTCTGGAATATTCTTCACAACTTATGCCTTCAAAAAGCCTTTTAGCACATAACACATTGCATTTTGATTATGGTAGAATGAAATAATCAAGTGACAAGTAAACTTCTACTATGCATATGTGACTTAATTGTTTATCAATCTTGAACGTACTGATGCAATTTGAGTTAAAATAGGAACTGATTGATTACTCCAATGAGAGATGGTTCAAGAATAAAGCAGCTAATCAGAGAGAGAGAGAGAGAGAGAGAGAGAGAGAGAGAGATGTGAATGAATGAATTGGGGAATTTGATTTCCATCAACAATGTTAAGATTGTTTATTTAAAGAAATATGTAGAAGTAATAAAACCGTATTGTTAGGTATGCATTCAATACAAGTGCCGTGTTGCTCTCTGTGTTTTTGCTCGAGTTTTACATTATTCGAGCCTTACATCATCTCCTCTAACAACTAATTATTAACATTTTTGCATTAAAAAACCAGATTTGCACTTCCTGGGAAAAAACACCCTTTGGGCAAGTCATCTTATTTGGGTCTATTTCATTTGTTCTCTCATCAAATTTCCTTTTTTTTTTTTTTTTTTTTTTTTAAACATAAATCAAATATTTCAATTTTTATGCAATACCAAATAAGTAATAATATAGTAATATCTTCTTTATCTTGTAAATGAATAATGAGGGATTAAATTTTTATAAAAATAAATGGGTGTGTGAAATTTTTTATCAATAATAATAATAAATAAAAAGACAAGAACCTTAACGAAATTGAGGGTATCCTCAAATTAACCATTAAACATTATTTCAATTAGAACAAATTTATCATAGTGAAACTTGATATTATTATCAAATGTTGTTGTTTAATGGTATTTTTTTATATTTTTTAAATAAAATGTTAAAGAGTACAAGTTGAAGTAGCAACATGAGAATACTGCTATTTGTCAAGAAAAATAAAAAAAGAAATCTAGTACAGGTCTATTAAAAAATAATAATAAAAAATAAATAGAAAGACTTATTTATAAATCTAGTACAGGTCTACAGAGTACAAAGGACACGTGATATTGATAAATTCTATTTTGGCCACCAGATCTTCTTAAAATTTCATTTTAACCCTACATTCATCCAAAATATTACATTTTAACTTCTAAATTTTTAAAAATTACGAATTCGTCCAGCCACACTTTATCGACGCGCACAAATATGGGGAGACGAGAGGCGTCAAATGATATTTTGGGCTTCAGGTATTTAGGTTTTGGAATTGGAACCCAGTTCGTTATTTCATCTTCATTTCCTTCATTTAAGGATATGATTCTAATTTGGAAATCACGAAATAGAAAGACTCATTTATGTAGATGGACATCAGAATGCTGCCATATATAATCCTAAGTCAGAGAGAGTCGAGTATGAGCAAAAGAGAGAGCCTAAGTGGCAAATTTTAAGTTTCACAAAATAAGAGTGAATTCGGTTTTAATGGTAAAATCTAAGTTACACAGAGCAGGAGAAAAATTGTGTGACTTAAATATCAGCGAATGGATTTCCCTTTTGAAGGATCACTCGGAAGCTTCGATTTCCCTTTTGAAGGATCACTCGGAAGCTTCAGGTACCTCATGCAAATTTCAATTTTGTTTGTCTTGGAAAATTTTCATTATCGCAGTTGATTTACAAAGCTTACCTTTTTTCACCTCTATACAAAAAATTTGTCCTGGTTTGATAAATTTTCATCTGATTGTGTGTATATGTTGATCTTTATTCTATTCTAGTTCTTGATTAACTCAGCAAAGAATTAACCTGTTTGGTTGTCATTTAAAATACTCCATGGTACTAGTACTAAAATTTTCTCATGGTTTTTTTTTTTTTTTTTTGGAAAAAGTTTTATGAAAGATTATTTTCCCCCATAAAACTTCTCAATTTTTCATATGCACAAAACAGTTATTTTGCAGCCAAATTAATTAATTAAATTACTCGAAAAAGGAAAAGCTTCATGCAACACCACCACCACCACCATGTATTTGTAGTTGCTTATCCAGTTGCCTTTTGTGGTCATGTTTAATATATCTCATAGGATTTTCTTCTTTATTAAAGGAGGAAGGTGGAAACATACTTTTCACATGAAAACATTTCCACGTTTGAACCTTTCAAGAGCACACTAGCTAAATTGGCCAGTCTGAAAAGTAAGTATGCCAATGTGAAATGTCCAGTCCCACCATTGGCATACTTACTTTCTGAAAGAAATATTAAAATAAGTGGGAACACTTTGAATCTTGTAGTATCATGTAGAGCTAGACTGAAACAGGCTATGTATGTATGGATACTTACTGTTTCTTGTAGTTGCCCAAATACTATGAAAAATATGAGCTGAACTAGGAATCTATGCTGGCATAGATAATCTTTTTCGCTTGATGATTATTGTGTGACCATAACTTTCTAAATTCTAGCTAATGCTATTTCTGCTACGGCTTTCCAATTAGCAGAAAAGAAAGGAATCCTCTTTATTAAAGAAAATGGGTGGGGCACAGAATAACAACTATCAGTGGAGTTTATATTCCCAAGTCAACGAAAGGATATCTGTGTAGTAATTTATAATTTTTTTTTTTTTTTTAATAGAATGATAAACCCATCAGACAATCAACCTATATATTCATCTTGTTATTTAGAAACTCACCTGACCTTGTTCAAAAAAAAAAAAAAAAAAAAAAAAAAACAACAACAACAACGTATCTGTAATAGTTTTGCCGATAACCCCCTTGCTATTGTTTAGTTGTTAGCATTATAATAAAATTACAGAATTGTGTTTATGAAACTGAAGTGATAAATTTGAGTAAAAATAAAAAATAAAAGCTTTTGAAAGAAAAAAAGTCCAAAATTAGGTTAAATGCCTAAAATGTAATGTGAAATATTTCTACCCATTTCCCCTATTCGAGTCCCAAAAATCAATCCCTCCATATATTTTTGTTCAAGAGTTATTTAGCCTACTAAAAAGAACATTTTGACTTGATCAATAAAATCTCTGGTTTTACTCTCTGTTGATTGCCAATTCACTTTCTTGCTGCCAGTTTCTTGCATTTCTGGATATACCAGAAAATGTTGCAGAACCTCCTTTAGAATGGTCACATGAGAAGAGGAGATGAACTAATACTCACACCTAGAGAAATTAAGAGCATATAATTTCAAAGGAACTTGAAAACCACATTCTCCAAGTTTATCCCTTGCATATTAAACATGCGATAAAGTAGAATTTGGGCTTTAAACCATACAAGCCTCTGATGAATTCCATACAGGAACTTAAGAGTAGCCCTCTTTTTTGTTCATAAGCCATAACACTCGGCTAGATCTGGGAGAAAATAATTTTCATTTCTTTTAGCCAGAGAGCAAATTGTGCTTTTGTTTCTTGGAAAAATGTAAATAAAATGTGCAGATAAGATTGCATCAAAATAAAATTTTATTTTCAGTAATATCTCTC